AATTATTGACCAGTTTGTTAGAGGCCATTTATCAACTAAAGAAAAAAAAAAACCACCATTCATGTAGGAATTTACAAAAGATAACTTGTTAAGTATTGTTGAATTACCTCTCTACTTCTATATATATTTTATGTAACCATATGTAACTTAGTTTAAGCCAGGCTACCGTTAGCTGCCAATCTACAGATCATGACCCATTTATATAAATTTGCTTAACATCAACAAAGCCTTGTCTGATGAAATCCTAATGGATGAAATACATCAAAAAAAACCTTTTCCAGTTTTTATAATTTCCCATTTAACTATAGTAATTTATATATGGAGTCAAAAGCAAAATATACACGCTATAGTTGAATAGGAAATTATATTAAATTATAGGGGGGGGGGATCCAAATATTATAAATATACAAATTGTGAAAAATTGAAAGTACCATTTAAAACCATAACCCCTGAAGACTTTGAAGATAAAATTGATATTGAAAATTAATCTTATATTAACACTATTTTTTTTAATATTGAGTATAAAATATCTTCTGTTTATATATTATATAAAAATCAGTGGGGCTATTCAGCCGGTTCACATGAACCTGTTCTTGGAAGTTTATGAGCTCTGCAAAAACATTGCTAGCTACAACCCAAACAAACTGCTAATTTTAGATTCTACAAATTGTAGTCACATAATCAGTTGAAGTAAATTCAGGTGACTGAATAATGGTTAATACAAATTTCACAAACTGTTGAACTTGTTAGATACTTGGAATATTCAAAAGAGTTTTTCCCTGGAAAGCTGAGACTTCAGTAAAAATTTTCATTACATTCTTATTAATGGTTTTCATGACTATGTGGAAAATATCCTGATAAACTTTCATAATCCTGCAATCTTTTCAATATGTGCAAAAACAATTAGCAATATGACCTATCAGTTTTCCAAGGCAGAAAGATTTAGGAATTAATATATACTCTGATAAAAGAAGCCACCTTACAGTGGAAAATGTAGCAAACTTAATGACAATCTTTAAATTTATAGGATGCCACTCCTTTCATTAATGCATGGCAGGGAAAGAGAGAAAAAAAAAAAAGAAAGTGCTGTTGACGAGAGGGTGAGGCAAAAAAAGCTGAAGTCTATGAGGATCAAGTGGCTATTTGGAAATTTTTAAACTGAAAAATCATGAAAAGATTAAAAAATTTCAGTTAAATATTTTTTTTTCAAAATGATAACCTTAAATGTAATGCAAATTTTGACTAAGTGCAAGATATATCTATATAGTAAAATATAGACTATGGAAAATGAGGGAACACATCCTTAAGATTTTTTGAATCCTACCACTTATCTATTTTAAGTGTTTAAAAAGGAATTAATTTTATTCTGGACTGAAATAGACAAGTTTGAGAACCGAGTAGAAACTTGCACTTAAATTTACATCATACTATGATGGTATGATATAATAGGTTTTAATTTTACTGATATTTTAAAATCAATAGACATTTATTATCTTTTCATAATTACTATCAGGGATGGAAAATCAAATTTTAAGACAGAGGTCTTATAATAAAAAAGAACAAGAACAATTCGATGTCTGGTTCCTTCTAGGCAGCACCTGTTTGCAATAAAGGGATAGGGATAAAAGCATGTCCTAATGCTGGCAGCAAGAGATCCCACGCACACACCAAAGCAAATATGGGCCATGTATCAAACCTTGCCTGATTAACACAGCTGTTTAAAACCCGTTTTTGTCATATAGGAAAATCCAATATGGCGCGTAAACGAAATATTCGGCAAAAAAATCTCATTCGTCAGTAACATTTTAAACACGTCATAGAATGTAAAGTTCTTTGAAAACCTATGCCAAAGTGTTTTCCTGAATCCTTGATGACTTGGCTGTCAAAAATGATATCAAGATGAAAATAATGGAACTGACCGTGAAAAAAATCGATTATGCGCAACAGGTTTTCGATCAATTAGTAAACTTTTGGACCTTTTAGGGCGATTTTATAGGATCCAGGCGGCTATTTTTTGCACATGGAATTATTCACTGGTAATTAATCTTGATTTGGCTGTGGAAAATGTCATGGCGGTTAGCATTAAGAAATTATGCCCAATTTTCTGAGAAAAATCCCTTTTTTTTAATGAAAAAAATATTTATTTTCGCTTCAAAAATAACATCCTTCAAAATTCATTCCTTTCTCTTTCATTTAGCATGAACATCATTGAATAAAAGGAACGGCTAAATGGAAGCGATGGGAAATACGAAAGATATGCATTGAAAAAAAAAAAAAATGTCGTCTGCTAACATGTTGTTGTCATCACCCGGTCACTGGGTGTTAAAACAAAACAAAACTCATCAAGCCATTGTTCAAACATAGGTTATATCAAACCCTAGTCATTGTAGAACCTTTTTTTTTCCACTCTTTGCTTTTTATCTGGGAGTGGTGGGTTTTATTACAACTTGTTCTGAGGTTTGCCATTTATTGACCTAGATGTCAAAGTCAATTAGGTTTAGTTTTCCTTATCGCTATTTTTTTGGGGGGGTGGGGGAAGGTTAATTTCTTAAATATTTGTTTAGAACAAAGAAAAAAATGCAAAATTTTCACTATTTTTTCCACATTTTATGCATGGAAAAAATTTTAAGTCATTTACACCAGTTAATTTTACTTTTAAATGAAATAATATATCATTTGCTTTCAGAAAATACCTAGTTTCATGGGGTTCAGATCAAAAGTTTCCTTGATATTAGTTTAGATGATAAAACTCATTTTTCAATATTTTACCCCTATAAAAGTATGAAAATCCATTTTTTTGAGAGAAAATAAGCTGTGACAAAATGACTTGCCATTTTTGTGATTTCCACTTGGGAAAGAATTTTTACGATAGGAAACCTGAATTGACTTTAAGTTCAGTGGGGCTATAAGAAACCTCAAACAGCTGTGTTAAACAAATTGGATCACCCATAAGTTTTGTTCATCAATGATGTAATCAAAGAGTGCCATACTAACATATGATCAGAGAATACATCATGAACAATAAATTAGCAAGGGCAGATTTGATGCTTATCCCCCTCCTTTTTGAGCTATCAATGCTTCTGGATGAAGGTGGTGCAAAGCACACTATTGGAAGTAGCAAATTTGAAAGACCTAATTAGTTCTTTTATTAGGCTGGTGCCAAAATAGTTTTTTTTTGTTTTAAAACTTCAACTAGGTTTTTTTTGGAAATTTAACTCCATGTTAAAAAGGAAAATTTCAAGTAACAAAATTCTATTGTGAAACTAACCTAGACCGATATCTCCACAGTGGTTGCAAAATTTTTATAATTGAGAGGATTTTTGAAGTTGCTTGTATATCTTCAACTAAAGTGAGGATAATTATTGAAGTGGGTTCATACAAATCAAGAGGTTGCAGTAGAACTAAACCAGAATCTTTCAACAGTTGGAAGAAAAGAGAAAAAGCTTGACAAATCAGTGCCACTTGAAATGAAACAAATAACCATGACAGTGTGCTATGCTCATCTCCAAACTTTATGGCATTGGCATGTGTTAAAAGGATTCTAGGCAAGCAACAGCATTCTACACAGTGGGTGGACTAAAGTGAGGTAAAACACTCCCAAAAACCAATACATCAAAAGAATTTTATGGTCACTTGTGGTTGGCAGCACTTTTTATGCATATATACATAAAATTTGTCCATTTCTTTTTTTTAAAGCCAGTCATTGAAACAGGTGTATAATTTTTACAGCAAAAGGTTTTCTTTTGGAAAAAAACTGAATACAAGAGATCTTTTCTGCAAGGTATAATCCAAGCAATATGTTAGTACTTAAAAAAAAAATTAAAGATTCTTTCTTGTAACAATCTATTTGGCACCCAATTCAAGGGTACCTGGACAAATATAAAGTACACATTTCAGTCTATTGGCTTGTTTCTGATTATGCAGAGGAAAAAACCTGGATTTTTGTTTGTGGAAAACATCTCAAAGTAGTATACCCTGTTTAAGATACTGAATTTTGAATACAAAAATGAATATATGTCTAGAATGACCTATTGGAACTGTTTTAACATTCACCAAGTGATGTTCTGTTGCCACCATTATTTTAAATTTGGTGTCTAACATCTACACACTGGCATTTTGTGTGAAGGTGAATTACAGAGAGTTAACTGTACATTAGTAGTACTTGTTTATTACAACACCAGTTATATGCAGTCTCTGCAAAGCCTCGGGATTTTTAGAAAAATTCCTTGAAGCCTTTAACATTTTAATAAAAGAATGTAATCTTGTAACTGGTGGTAAACTAAAGTACAAACTGATGCCTTGGGCAATTAAAAAAAAAAAAAAAAAAAAAAAAATATTTACAAGACAAAAAGATATTAAGTCAAAATATTTCTTTATTCAGATAGAGGGGAGGGGGGTTAAAAAAAATTGGCAAAGTTCCAGGAAATTTGTTGCACAGAAGAGAAAAAAAAACCTCCAACAACCTGTTTGCAATATACATTTTTTCTTTTACACAAAAGTGGTAGAGAAACAACTTGTAATGACCAAGGAGCCTCAGGACAACTGAGATTAAAGGGAGATAAATGCGGCGAGGACAAATGGGGTGGGGTGGGCAGAAAAGAAAGATGCACACACACACAAGAAAAGAAAAATACATGCACATTTCTCCTTCCTTTATGAATTTTTCAAGTGGCAGGAAAAGTCTCAAGAAAAAGGGAATAAAATGAAAAGTATAGCAAGTATGGGACATTGGTTTGGGAGCTAACTGTTAGTCCCCTTGGCCATAACAGCTAAAAAGTTCTGATGTAACAATATTTTCTTTTAATTTGTGTACACCCCCCACCCCTCAAAGAAAAAAAAAAAAAAAACAAAAAAAAACAGAAAAAGCAGCATTTGTGTAAGTGTATGTGTTAGTATCTGTTCAATGCCTTGAATGTTGTGCCACAGGAAACTGGTAGTTGTTAGTGTCCTGGATGGTCTGTAGATTGCAGGATAACTGCAACATTGTTTTGAAGGAAGAATCACTGTTGTTTACAATCTCTCTTCCCATCAGTCTGCAAGAAAAAGATTTTAATTTTACTTTAGAGATAAAAGGGAAGGTGAGAAAAATTACAAGATTCATCCCTTGTTACATTAGTAACCTCAGTTATTTAGCACTTATAAAATTAAGTTATATTTTAATTATAATGCTAGTAACTAAAAATGATTACCAATATCAAATAAGCTACCTTAATTTTAACCATTTGCTAATCTTCAAAGTACAGCCAAATCTTATTCCCATTATGCTGCAATCTGATGTAAAAATTAGAATATTTTATGTTGAGGTTTACTGAAGTGCCAAGTACATAAAAATCAGTTTATATTAGGTGAAGTTAATCTAAAATTTAATAGATATTAAATTTGAAAGCTTAGTTCCTGCTCCCAAGTAGTTGTGCATGAAGTTATGAATACCATTGACAATACTAGCAAGTAAAGCCTACTTAATGAAAGTTAGATTTGTTAGCTAGACAAGCTTGCAATTGTATAACAAAAAAATGTGTATAGTCTTATATAGTCAGCAAGAGAAAACATTTAAAGAGTTTGCTGTTAACCACCTTACAATTCTGAGAGAGAGAGGAAAAAAAAAAGCAAAAAGTATTTTGCAAATTTTTAAAAGAAAAAAATCCTGCCCCATAGATGCTTTTATTTCTGGATAACCACAAGGGTGGAGAAAATAGAGTAGAAAGCCATTTAGTTTACATTTGCTAACTACAGTATAAGCAGTAGTACTGTGTGAAATTCTCAAAATAGGCCTGTATATAAAAATTATTTCACTTAAAGCAGGTATATTGTGTCCCCATATTTTATATGGTGAGATATAGATTAATTACAGAAATCCCTCAATTAGTGTGGCTAATTTGTACATCAGTAAAAGGATTTTAATTACCATGGTTAAACTGAGTGTTTAACTACTCATCAAGCATTATGTATGTACTAGTTGAATTTTGGTATCTAAAAATTCTTAGCATACTAATCAAACATTAATTGAATGTGCATTGAGGGATGCTTGTATTAATCTTTGATAACTTTACTGCACTATGCAATTTTCAGGTGCTGAGTATAGACTGGCTGTTACATAAGAAAAACAAAATCAAGGATTTTGTGTGGAAAAAAAAAAAAAAAAAAAAAACTGCTTAATATAGTGGATACAGATTTATTGATGTTACTAACAGCTATAGCTGATCATAATGAGAAAAAAAAAAAAAAAGAAAATCAAGTTGTGAATGATACTTATGAATAGGAAAATTCTTCCAATATTCATTTGAACATTACAATAAAAAAAAAGAAAAGAAAAAAGAAAAAGGTGGATTAAACCATGTCCTATGCCTACATTTTACTTTGTTTTTCTCTTTCAAAAATACTCTAAAGTTATGTTTGCTTATTTCTAAAGCTTTTATCTTTAATTTTTATTAATCATTTCCTTATTGCTGGCATTAAATAATCCAACTGACCAATTTATGTAAAATCATCTGGAATTTTATGAGCGTTTTGATTCTTTATCACTTATCTATGATTATATAAATCTTTGGTGTAGGCTTTGTAATAATTATTCAAGTTCAAGGTAACAAAGTTTAGCATTGGTGGTAGTTATATTTAATCTAGTGATCTTTGAAAAGATCAGTTTCTGTCAATCGGTCTGTATTTCTTGGACTTGTTTTTACAAAGGAAAAACAGTCATCTTTAGAGCCCCTCAATGTTGGAAATAAATCAGTTATCACAATATTCAATTTTACATGCCGTTATTTCTTCACAGAAGCATCATGGAATTTAGGTTTTTGCAATCGCTAATAGGATAGTAATTTTTCATTATTTTTTAAATTGTCCTACCAGTGAAGTGTGTGTGTGTGTGTGATCTAAATGATGTCAGATTTTAGTGCTAAAGGGTTTCTACATGTATTAAACAATGTTCTATAGAAAATATAGTCAGATCTGAACAGGATCTGAAAGAATGAGTGCAAGATTTCTCATCAGTTAAGCCCAATTTGGATATCCAGTTAAATGTTTAAGTTTAAAATACGGCTACAGAACAACGAAGAGACTTATGCCATGAGGCAGTAAGTCAGCTTATACCATGAGTAAAGCTCAAAGTATGCAAGCATTGTCACAACTCAGGCTTGCCTGAAAACATTTTCCTTTCTATTTTCTACTGTTCACAGCTTATAATAAACATCCTTTTTTCTGTATTTTAAGATTTTTGCATTTCATTATAGGAAATTTAGCAATTATAAATTTTTATAGAACTGAACCTGTTACCTAACATGACCATTTATACTTTTGTTTTAATCAGAACCCATTATAAGAAGACTGGTTATAAAACTGGTAAGGTACTAAGCCTATTTGTAGGATAACTTTTTTTTTTTAACTATCCATTATAATTAGCAAAAGAAACCTGCAACTAAAAATGTTTCTCATTTATATTACAATAAAGATCAGATTAAGAGTCTGAAAAATTCATGCATATTCTTAAAGAAACTTTTTTAAAGAATTAGGAAAAAAAGTGTACAGAAAGTTATGTTAAAGTTATTCAGTCAAAATTTTAATATTTCAAAGTTATATTCTCTATTTCCATAGAACAATGGAGATGACAAGAGCTTAGATATTGGAAGTTAGTGCTGGTTAGGTTTGTTAAAAGTAACTGAGGGAAGGTATTGTTCAAAATCAGTCTGTATAGTACTTAGGAATACAAGTGACTGGCTCTGCCAAAGAATCAGATTTACTAATATCCTCACTCATGGTACAGTATCAGTCAAAATAAACTCATTTTCTTCATGCAACATCCACATTTGGTTTCATAATTTTTCTTACTGTTCCAGGAAAGGAATTTAAAAAAAAAAAAAAAAAAAAGCACAGCAATTTGATACAGTTTGAGTTTTTAAACTCTGGCCACCAAGAAACCAAGTTTCATGCACACCAATGACAACTATTAGAAGTAAATAGCATAATTTAAAAGGATTTTTTTTAAGAGAGGATTCTCTGGAGTATAGTCAGTATGATTATTATATAGTAGCACAAGACAAATGGTAGAATGCTCATAAATATGGACAATTGGATGGGGGCGGGTCAACAATGACGAGTATCCATAAGTAACCAGACATCAATTTGGGAAGAAGAAAATTCTATACCTAAGGGATATTTTTCCTTTACTCAAGAGTTTTATACTGTTGAACCCTGGCAAAAGAAAAACAGAAGTCAATTTCACTTATTTGGGCAGGAATTTTAGACTCAAAAACAAATTAAAGTTTTCAATTATTTAAACCTAAATTTTACTTTATGGTATACTAGAAATTTTAGATCAGAAGACTTGAAGTGTTATTGCAGAAGTCTTTATGCATGAGGACTGGCATTTTTTAATAGTTCCCATGAACAGTTTTGAACTAATTAACTATAGGGTATTTTCTACATGAAGAGATTGTATTTTTAACTTGTCAAAACAAGTGTTCTTTCATAATATGGTCAACATTGAGAAAATTAAGTAGCGGCTTGAAGTAAGATTTAAATGCCTCCATCTGTAACAGTAAACATTGAGAAACCTTTACTATGAAGAGGGTAGAGCGAAAACAGAAGCACAGTCATTTTATATTATACAAATCAGAACTACTTAATGGAAAGTATTGTTGCATACCACTGGCACAGGGTCCTATACATTGGTTTCTATGAAAGTGCAAGATTAAATATCTACAATTTGGTATTAAATTTTTATGCAACCTAAAGTTTATTTATGCAAGAGGCAACAATTTTGGACATTTGTTGAGAAAATCTGCAATGAGCTGTAACAAAGATATAGACAGAACATTGGAATTTGAAAATTGGAGGTCCTAGAACAATCAAAGAAAACTGAAAAGACAAATGATGCAAAGAATAAAAATATAGCAGATAAGAAAAGTGAACTGACCAGCAAGAAAATATTTGAAGCTGAATTGCAACAGAAAAAAAAAAAAAAAAAAAAAAAAAATATTTGAAAACATTGATTAGCAAAACTACCATCAGATCAAAGTGTGTACATTTCACTCAATTTTATTTGGATCAACCAGATGGTACCTGAGGAAACAGTTGAGCCCTTCATAGAAATCAAACAAGGTACAGTAATGTTTTGGTACATTGTAGAGGAATAAAATTTTTCAAAAGTTTCAAAACACCAAATTACCCCCCCACCACCACCACATCTCATCCAGCTTAGATATACCACTTGAAGCAGTAAACATTAGTCAAGCAAGATGAAGCAATAAAACTGCAGTGTCAGAATAGAAAATTTTGAATATGGTAAAAAGATCCAATATCAAGAACCGTTATTGGCACGTGAAGTAATTCAGAATCACGATCATCAAATTGACTATTGACAATCTTACAATCTTAGAATTATATATATATATATATATATATATATATATATATATATATATATATATATATATATATATATATATATAAACTGAGCATTTACAATGTTGGTACTACCACAATTTAGTTGCCTAAATCAGATTAATAAATATTTGAATTTATTCAGAGTTTGGTAAATTTGCCAAAGTGACCCTACCCCAAAACATCTAAGAGGAACCGAGACTATGTAGCATCAAAAACATGGACAGGAGAAGCATTTTATATAGTGCTATTTTAGTCTTATTAAAAATTAAGGCACTGAATAGTTACAGTATACAAAGATTTGTTTTAAAATGGTTAAGCGTGTGGTCAAATGGTTAGAATTTGACTGTTCTAGACATGAAACTTGTCAATTTATCAGGGAGCTTAGATGGCTAGCATGAACCACTGTCGAGAAAGTCAGTTTGGAATTTTTTATGGCCATGTTTAAATACTAGTTCAGGCACATGAAGTTCTGTACTCTTAAGCATAATTGAGTGTTAAAATACAAAATGAGTTCCTCCCAAGTGTTGGGCCATTTTTCATTGCACACATCTAGCGGTTAATATTTCAAGACTTAATGTGAAGGGAATTAGAACAATCAGACATCACACCTAACGTTACACAAAATGAGACAAGCAGTACAACAAGCAAAGTTTACATAACTGAACTGTGAAAAGGGACCGTACAACACTGATCAACTATCTAAGCAAGCAAACTTTAGCATCATAAACAGAGTTGGGGGGGGTGGGGTTTAAAAAAAAAAAAAAAAAAAAGTTCACATATGAAAGTCGTCTTTCCATACATAGGACTTTAAATGCAATCCTGCAAGATTAGATACAATATACTAGTATTGTTATAATGAAAAAAAAAAAAAAAAAAATCCAAATGATTTGACATGAAGGTTTAGTCAACACACATTTTGCCAATGTGTGTTGGCATATAAAATGTAGAACATTTTCTGCTTAATCCACAACTTAATCAGGAATAAACAGTCAATAGATTAATACCAAATACCACTAGAGATGTTCAAGACTTATATAGGAGGCATTATGCCAAATTTTTGTATAAAATAATTTGCACTGAATTCCAAAGTAAGACTTTGGAATTTAAATCAAGTAATTGGTAGCCAAGGAGTTGGTGATAAAAAAAGAAAAAAAAAAGAAACCAGAGTATTCCTGCATTAAGAGGATAAGAGGAGTGGCTAGATCAAATTTGTAGGCATTAATTTTTTTTTTTTTTAATAAACCTTCATCACAGGTTCCGAGGTTTGTTTATCTATAGCAAATCTAAGGCAAGGTATTTCAATTATTTCACAACTAATGCATACCGAAATTTAATTTAGCTGCAGTGGGACAAGTACACACTTAAAATGTTACAACTTTAGTTTGTGAAGATATTAATCCCACAACTAGTTGCTTTGATATTATAAACATTTTGAAAAGGCACCCAATAAGCCACACTGCAATCAATTTCATAAAAGTTGTTGGAATTTATATTTAAGCTTACCTCTGGATTATAATCTGGGTCATTTTCTGGATCATAGTCCTCACCTTCATGCTGAAAGGTAGCAAAATGAAATGGACCATGCAAATAGTGCACTGCATACTAATAATCAAAGCAGGATTACATCAATAACCACATGCAATTCAATAGGACATTGAGAAAATAGTAAAAATAAAATAAAGGGATATGAAAAGCAATAGGAAAGGAGATAGCATACTCCTAATCTTAAATATATTTACTGATGTGCTAATACAAAGTTCTATTTTTAATTTTTCCAGATATACTTTAAAACATGTAGTTTTTAAGTAGACCCCCAGTTACATGCCTTCATGTAATGAAGGAAACATCACTACAAAGAGCAAATAACTGATTGATTTTTTTTTTTTTTTTTTTTAAAAAAACTTTCATTTCATATTCATACATATCCTAAGCAAATCTGTTCAGATCTTCCCCTATAAGAGATAAAAGGAGTAATTTGCAGAAATGAAAAGGTTTCTAAAGACAATTAGAGGATTAGATTTGTTTTTTTTTGTTTTTAAAAGTATCCAGTGGGCATTGACTAGTTGTATAACTAATACCAGGAGAAATTTTCCGATCAGGATAGTTACTGAATGTATTAAATTATGATGAAGGCTCATACCCACAAACAACAATTATGGCTTCTGTGAGAAGGGGATGATCACTTTAACAACATTAACAACAATGACAGACAATGACAACAACATACAGCAATACAACCATTTGAGGCCCTACCTTCTAATACCCACCAGTGAGAAAAGGGACAAAGCTAGTCCAGGACAATCCATAACTCTTCAAGACCACTAAACAAGAGGAAGAAGGAAGTCTACAGATATCTGACATGATATAACATGAACAGATGTTAAAGATTTAAATAATTGTCTCAAATAAGCAAGCAATGAAGTTAGCAAAGGCTTCATTTTATTGTAGTTACATAAAGAAATGTGTTTATGGCTGTATCTGCTGAATTATGTTAAGTTTTTTGGCATACAATGAGAAAAATTCACATTACAGCCAAATGCAAAACTAAAATTTCCATATCTAAGTTATTCAGATATTAAGCAAACTGGAAGTATTTTTGCAGAAACTTAAAAAATGTTTAAGTTTTAAGTGTAAAAAAAAAAAAAAAAAAAAAAAAAAATTTAATTCAGTTATCAGTACAAGAAAACCTTAACTTTATAATAATCTTCCAATTAAATTATACCTGTAATTAAAAAAAAAAAGTCAGGCTGCCAATATCGAAACATCAAGAGGACTTAAATAAGCAATGCCATTTAAGCATTCAATGCATAAGCTTAATTACAGAAATTTCTAGCTTTAAGTGAGTGTATGCAAGACATTACAATTAAAATATTTTCTGGAGAGTTAGGGACTTGTATAAAGCTTTAACAAATGATACAAATTTACATTTGCTGATGTATTAAGTGAACTGCCAAATCAACTGGCTTAGAATCATTAAATTATCACTTCATTAGGTTTAACCATGAAATTAATAGCAGACATGATACAGAATAAAGCCAAATCAGTTACTGGTCTCTACAACAATACAACTAAGAAACATTGCAAGTGTTTGTGTTTTTTATACTCATGTGTCAGTGAATGGATTGGAGGTTCTTGTGCCACTGGTTAAAGAATATACACTTTGTGCAGTACTTACAAATTGCTTGAAAATTGCACAGTCATCTCCAAACACCTATGAAGATCCAAGAATATATTCAGTTCCCTAGCCCTACAGTCTGCCTCTAAAACTGAGGAACATAACAGAATAGTTAATTAAACCAGAGACTGTTCAGTGCAAAATTTAAAAAAATATACATACACCAAGGAATAGTTTGGGAGGGGAAAGGGTGTAAAAATAAAAGTAATGAAATTTGCTACAGAAACAAACCCTTCCCATGAAATTCAATTTTCCAAAGGCTAAAAAAAAAAAAAAAAAAAAAAAAAAAAAAAAAAAAAAATATAGAAAGATTTTAATAAGAGGAAGATAATTTCTTGCTGAAAACTGTCTTAAAAAGTGAAGTTACTATGCAGAAGTCTTTTTTACTCTATTAAAAAGGTATTTTTAGATATATACATAAAAATGATGCAAAACTAAAGAACCCTTTTTTTTTTTTTTTTAACATACTAACAGAATAGTCAGGACAGATTACTGAGGGTGATGGGGAAGAGCATTTCTATTGAAATATCAAAGCCTCTCAATTGTTACAGCTGCTTACAAGCTTGTAACTAACTAAACCTCTTGAATTCCCAGAAAGTGTAAACCAGTTAAAAGAAAACTCTTTAATGAAATAAAAAAAAAAATAAAGAAACAAAAGTTTCAGGAGGCACAAAGTTTCCACTTCCAACTAATGGAGAAGTGGGGAGAGAGAAAAAAAAAAAAAAAAAAAAAAAAAAAAAAAAAAAAAACAAAAAAACACTAAAGCCAACAGGAATTTAAAATCCAAAACAAGTGAAAGTGATGGCCCAAAAAGTATCAAAGAACAGTGATAATAAAAATAAGCAAAAAACAAAAGAAACTAAGCCAATTTTTGTATAAAAAATTAGATGCAATGTAAAAGTTTCCAGCTTTTTGAAGGCTATGGGATTGGCTTTACAGTCAAATTGAATAGTTAAACATACTGGAAACTTTTACACACCGAATTAAGTGTAGAACGTAATCAAATATAACCCAAGTAGTAAGTAGTGTGCTGTAAGCACCATTTTCAGGAGAAAAAGTAAACAAAAGCATAAAGTAAACAATTCAGAACAATCACTTATAGAAAAGAGTAATGTTACTTGCAATTAAATATGCATCTTCCATGCTGACCAGACCTGAAATCAAACAAACTGCTTTTGTTTTTGTTCCCTCACCTCTAGGACCAAAGAATCTTTGGGCCTTAATATTTCAGAAATATTAAGTATATCTATTTTTGACAGCAACTGTTTTTTATATATATATATATATATATATATATGCGTGTGTAAATCTAAAATTTTTTTAAAGGATTACATAATACAAATAAATATTTCATGTAATCCCAATGGTGATGATGCAAAGTTTAGTTTAGTTAAAAAAATAAAGGTTTTAGTTTTGCAGAATATTACTGAAGACCAGTTCCTGCAAAAGGTGGCAAGATCAAGCCAGACACCAACATTTCAATAGTCTGACTGCAAATATTTGTCAGGGGTAGACTAGAAATTTACAATATGCAAGATGTATCATCTGATAAAGCTGAAGATGGTGCAGCACAAAAAATTCTCAGCACATCATAGTGTGCATAGATACATATACAAGTAACTTTAGCAAATTAAGATCTACATAACATTCATAAAATGCTAAGGAAATAATTGACTAATTCTTCCAACTGCATTATATCCAGTGTGTGTGTGTGTGTGTGTGTGTGTGTGTGTGTGAACATGCATAACTGAAAAGTGTTAAATCCACAGCAATAATGCACACAAGAAATACAGGACAAGAGTTTATTTTAATAAGCAGAAGCATTCCCCCCTGCACCAGTATTTGGAGGTAGTTGACCTAAATTTTACTTTTTTTATTCAATGTAAAATTGGAGGAGTTTGGGTTTTTCTATTATGCTCTTAGAATTCAGTATCATCACTAGTCAGAATTCATCTTCACCTACCAAAAAGTTTCTTTTAGCTTAGCAAAAGCTACAATTTATGAAAGCTCATACAGTCAATACATGGCAAGATATTTTATGCCTGATAATTGTTTACTAGATTTTATATATATATATATATATATATATATATATATATATATATATATATATAAAAATCACCCAACTGCTATGCAGGATATCAATAACTAGCTAAGCAAATTAAGAGTAACACTGCCCAACCAGTAAGCCTGAACATGTCTTAATGACCATTTTGTAAATATATAGGTTAAAAATAAAGTCAAAGTTGAGATTTAAATAAATTTTAATGTTTGCAAGTGAAAGTTAATTTACATTCCTATAGTAATGTCTATGAAACTAGTTTTATAGATTTTCTATATGATCTCCCAAGATTAAAGGGATAAATCAAATATCTAAGCACAGACTAAACTGAAGTTAGCAATTCATATATAATTTTTGTAGAGAGAGAAGTTATCTATAAATGTTAATTAGAAATGCTTATACCTAATTTATACCTAAATTAAGGATGGTTAAAATTTCTAAGAAAGAGTTGAAATATCTTACCTCTTCTTCATCTCCTTCCTCATCATACTGAAAGAAATGAATATTAGCATGAACAAATTAGTTAAATTTCAATGATCCAGCTTCAAAAACTATCCCAAAAGGGTTGTAGTACATTTTGTAACAACTTATTTTGATAGCATTTATTTTTAAAAACTAAATGCCCCCCCCTCTCTTCCATGCATGTTAAAGTATTAACAACTGACTCAGGCAATCTACATTACAAATGTCCTTTTGGAGTTACCACTATATAACCACCTGTTTTAAGTTTTATAGTCAATGCATTAATTCTCAATAGTACAAGGAAGCAAAATAGAAAGATTACAATAAAAATAGATTAGATTTTACTATATTTTAAAGTATTAGAAAATTATCATTTATCACAAATTTGACAGTTAGAATTCATGTATTGATGCATACCTCATCTTCATCTTCTAATGCTTCACCAGTGAAGTACAAAACTGCTCGAGGTATAATACGCTCTCGTATAAAGTGTCCAATTTCAAAGTCTGCAGCTAAAATAGCTTCAGCATTCTCATCCTGAAAGCAAAGAGAATTGTAAGTTATGCAATAAGTAAAAGATTGTTTTAGTCAAAAATGAAAAATTCTAAGCTATTTTTCTACCATTTTTAACATGTTACCATGCCAACTCTAAATTTAGACAAATGTCCTTGCCTTTAATTCCTAATCGCTGGCTGGTCAGAGTATGCTAGGACAGTTATCCAATCCTCATTGCAGACATCTGCTTCAGCACATTGATGCTTGGTTTACACTGCAACTATGCAGAGTTGACATTAGTTAGTTTCTGGGAGAGAGAACATTATCTAGCATGATGAGTGAACAAACCCTCAATCATGAGGTTTCGTGACATCATACTAGCACAATTATTGAACAATTCTGTCTATGCAATTGCACTCACAAGGCATGGGTCAAGCCACTAGGGTTTTTAGGCATTTTCCAAGAGGTGCAACATGCTGAGTTTGCCTTCCCAGGCTAATAATGCCAGGAAGGCAACTTCCCAATGAATCAACCATGGTGAATAACACCCAAATCTTATGGTTAGAAAGAACATTCTATTTTTGTTACATTGGTATACTAAACCTACAAGAAAAATTACTTACCATTTCAGCTTCATCTTCTGGGGCTGCAATAAGAGAAAGAGACATTAGTACTGCCGAAAGGTTTTGTTCAGGTCCCTAGAACTGATTGATGAAATTAAAGTCAAGAATTGAACTGTAAAAATGTCAATTATATAAGACATAAAAAATATCAAATGCAAACCTTTCAATTACAAGTTACATTTTGTCAGTAGGTAGGTACCTCCAAAAATTCATATACCCAAGTTTTAAATGTATTTTTCATAAAGGAAAAATCCTTTATGAAGCTTTCCAACCACTTCAATTGAAAGCCAAAGGATTAAATTTTCTAATCCCAGAAAAGATTTACTGAGTATTTCAAATAGAAATTTGAATGATTTTTAGTCTATGCTTCTGAGAAACCAATCTAAACAGCCATTTTTTTAACTTTTTTTTTTTTTAGAGAAATGTTAACGATTTTATTTTTCAGTTTTGAAAATCCCACTAAAATAAGATATACGTTTCTGAAATGTTACTATTCGTAAAATTAGCAAATTTAAAGTTAATTTGATCCATTCTGAAACATCACTTATAGCATAAAATTTTCTAGACAAACATTTGACCTTGGGGTCTGTTATTTTCATGTCTCCATTGATAATTTGATGGAACTTGTTGACAGGTTTAGTACAGTGCATTAAAAATGACGTTTGTTTCCTATAATATAAAATACTTTAAAAGTTTCTTACACTGAGTTAACTATCTTTCATTATTTAATAGCTAAGATAATTTTATTAATTAATATTACATTAAGTTATTACATTTTTAATTTAATAACTGATAATTTTAATTAAAATATCAGTTATTTTTTAAATTGATAAATGAGATCAAATTATCAATTTAATTTTTAATAACCGAGTAAGATAAGACCTTTACATGTCAAGGGGCTTTCTCCAAGGAGGAGACAAAACTTGAAACATGACCTTTTAGCCATAATGTCACTTATGTGACAGACTAAATTTTTTTTTTTTTTTTTTTTTTTTTAATTGTGGTATAAAAAGTTTTGGTAGCATTTGTATTAAGCTTTTATTTTTGCTTAGTAAATAGTTTTCACTTAAAAAGTTAACCTACTCCACACTGGACGAATTTTAAAAAATCTTAAAATTAAAGAAAAATGAAACACTAAAAAATGCAAACAATTCTTGTAAAAATTGTTTATTCATCAAAAACTCTCCCTGGATAATGTCCTGAATGTATGTTATTTATAAAAGCCTAATTTGATAGTAAAATAAAAACAACAATCTATTTGGAGCAGATTTTTTAAAAAGGTTGGCAGTAGTTGTAGGAAATATAAAAATAAAATTAATTTCTCCAAGGAGTCCTGCTTATAAGTAATATAAAACAATTTGCAAAATGGTAGAAATTCTAGAAAACTTCATTATATATATATTTTCTACAAGTAAAAATTTCAATACATTGTTCTTTCCTAATAAAGATTTTAAGACCTTTTATCCCATACCAATTTTTTAGCAAATTATTGGAGGTACCTAAATTAGGTCATTGACAAGTAAATTTTTACAAAGTTTGCCATTAGAAGAATAGTCATTGATACTGAATAAAATACTATTTCATTATAGAGTTCTGGAATTGTAATGGTGACAAGAGTTACCTTATTTACAAGCACAAGAGCTTGCATAGTTAAGTAAATAATGGTACAGGAAGTAGAACAAGATATTATCCAAAAGATTAAGGAATTTTAACTTGAAGAACCCTTAGGTATAATCCAAGGAGAAAATGGTAATTTAATACTTACGCGTAGGAGGGTTGAAGAAATTGAAGAAAGAATCATTTTCAACAGTTTTTGTCACCGTTCTAGTTGTTCCTCTTCCCTTGTGTTTCAGTTTCTTTTTTACAACTTTCACAGTCACATCCTTGCCTTTCTTCCATTCAATTTGGCAACTAAAATTGAAATTTTAACACTTTAATATATATATGCACAGTAGTCAATCTGAAGTCACATTCCTAAGAACATTTGATCTATAATAAGGGCCCATATTGGATCATGCACATGTTTATAGCCTAGATAAAGTGGACAATATTTATCTAAATTTTAGCCATTTATATCCGTTAACAGATTGGCATATCATTGCTTACCATACTACATGTAGGGTAAACTCCCATATTGAAGCATTGTCTTTTTGGTAGGAGAGGTAGAGTGGCATGAACAGCTAATGCCAGCATTAGGTTACTGTTGGTTTAATAAAAACAAACAAGATGGGTACATTCTCATATCCACAATAATGCTGTGCCTCAAAAATTGCCTTGTTTTTTTCCTGGGGATGAGATGAGCAAGGGTTCAAGAGTTGAAACTTACCCACTACATTTTATGATTTCAGGTCCTTCAAATGAAAAAGGATCACCCTCATCTGGTTCAGATTTCATGATGTATTTTTTTGTTAAGATTGAATTCTTGAAATAGTCATTGGTCTCAAAGTAAAATTCCAGAGTGAAACCCTGTAGAATAAATAAGATTTACATAAAAGGACCCAAGTTAGGTGTGCAATGCAAACATTTGTGTTTTATGCAGATTCTGTTAATGCTTCCAGAGTTTCTGGATATAGTTTACATCAATTAGAGTTACTTTTTTTTTTTTTGCTTTTAAGCTTAAGATTGTAATAAATTAAATCTGAAATACCAAAATCAAAGCCCTCCACACAGGCTAATTAACAAACAGCCACTTAAATGTAGATTAAAACAATTTTTATATACATGTGACAAGACATTGCACTTTACTCTTGAAAGTGAGAACAATTAATATACATAATAGCAATCTTTCTAAATTACACCATTAAGTTTATATACAAACTTTTCAAAGCATGTAAACTTACCATTGGATTTTTCTCTGAAAATACACACTTAATATCCGTAAGATGCTTCAATATAGGTTCATCATTTTCCTAATGAAGAGAAAAATTTTTTTTAAAAAACTTGCTTAAATGATAAGTGGTAAATAATTTGTAGGTAAATCCTAATTAATAAGTAAGCTCACTATTTCAATATGGCCAAGTGTAGATAGGATGAGCCTACATGCAGTTAGAAGCAGTTAACCACTTGAACCTTTTGATCAATTTATAAGCTGATGGTATAATAGGACTACAAACTGCTTTATCAAAATTACATTGCACTCCTGCAAAGCATTTGTTACAGTTGTAAACAATTGTTTAAAGTATTTAGCAATTTTACCCATGAATACAAAGGAGAAACAAAAACACTGTATAAACTGTAGGTAGAACATGGCATAAGATTCAGACTGACATTACAAATAAGCATACCTGAACCATTTCTGAAAGCATATCTACATTCTTAAAAACTGTCAACCAGAAGTGAGGAATACCTTTGGTATTTTCTGAAAATATAATAGAAAATTTACTTTAATACACAATATAAGTAGAAACGTGTCAATACTGTAGATAGAGATTTAAATGATAGCCACTTACCAATTCAAGTTTATCTTATTCAAATAAAGTTTATCACACATGGGAATATGAATGCATTAGAGATAGTAATTTAATTATACTTCGGAACAAAATAGAAGTCAGATATTACAAGCTGGAAATAAAGGTTAAACAAAATAATCACTAAAAAGAAAAAATATTACCATCTAAAACTTCAACTTCAGGCTCCTTATTTTCTGCTGGCTTTTCTTCAATAGTAGTTTTATTAATACCTTCCTAAAGTAGAAAAGGTTAACAAAATGAGGAAAATATGAAAGCACTTAAAGTCAATTTAATACAACCATGGACTACCAAATCAAGTTATCAATACTGCTCAATATATATATATATATATATATATATATATATATATATATATATATATATATATATATATATATAGTTTCATATAAACATTGAAATCCTTTTATAGGATTTGTTAGCTTGTGTTAATGCTAAGATTTAGATTATGTGCTACAATTATAGCTCGACAGGTTGGTCATTATCTATTTTAAAGAATAGAAGTATTAGTAATAAAGCATTTTCAAAAATTACCTTTGATATGTTGAAGGCAACTTTCACAACTAAAATGGTTAAAATTCAATTTCAAAAGCTTCATAAGACTTACAACAATTTCATCATCTTCATCACTAGTCCATTCACACTCTTCATCTGTGGGTTCTACATTTGCATTTATAATGTCTTTTCGCTGCAAGAGAAAGTGATTGAATTTTAATTTAGTACTGTTAAATTCAACAAGAAAACAAACACCCCCCTCCCCCAAAAACACCCTTTTAGTTAATATTGCTACACAATGGAACAATCACTGTGTCCTGGAAGATATTTTGACTTTATACAAGACTCATGGCACACAAGCTAGAAGAGAGTAGCACAATTTAGATGAATCCATGTAGAATTTTTCATTTATATTCAATTAAGCAGGACTTACCTTATTATAGAAAGGTGCATATTTTTCTGCAAACTTGCACTCTAATTTGTGAAGTTCTTCATAAAATTCTGCTTCTACTTTAGTTGTTTCATACTGTAGTTTCTTTAAGGCCTTTATTCTTCTTTTCACAGACTTTGGTAAGCTAAAAACAGAAACAAAAGCATATATATATATATATATATATATATATATATATACATATACATACACACACAAGAGAAAGTGATAGGAGGTAAATGCAAAGTCAGCAAGTGAACCAAACTAGAAAGACTTACTTCTGGATGTAGGTGGATGGGGTACCAACAATGCTATCGAGCCTATCTTGAAGAGCTGCTAATACGGAGGGATTCTGCATCAGTTCATTAGTGAGTTCTGAAGTCACACCACTTTGAGGAGCATCTTAAAGAGAAAAGAGATTAGCATTTTAGTACTGCAAATAAATTATTAAATATGCATACATACATACATTTGTAACTATATCAAAATTCAAAGTTATTGATGGAAGAGTTCTCACAACCTACCTTCAGAACCCTCTTCACAGTCTATTTCCTCTTCAACCTCAATTTCTGCATTGTTTTGCCTACAAGTAGAGCAATTTCAAGATTAAAATGGATTATGTGGCAAGATGAATTACAGGACATTTTGCCATGTCCTAGTCTAATTCACCAGCATTTACCACAAAAGGAACAAAGTGTATTAAGAGAATTAGCCAGCTTATGTGAACTTATTCCAAACTTTGAGACACTTGAATAAAAAAAGCCCAACAATATTCAAAATGGTTTACAAGCTTTTTACAAAAAATGTAGCAGGTATGGATTAATTTTATAATCCTGTCATATACTTTGCTAAATAGTGTCATAATCAGCCAAGTGGCAAACAAAAGTTAACAGAGTTGAATTAGGCCAAGAAACAGTATTAAAAAGTTCCAAATGCATAACATAAAAATTTAACATGCAGAACTTAAGTATAGAAAATTTGGAGATCAGCTGATCCTGCTACCTTAAGGAAATTTTGGTAACACTTTAAAATAAAGAGTATGAAAGCTACATAAAAAGAAAAAAAAAGTGAATGGCTAAGGCTAAGCACACAGCATGAAATGTGGTAGACAGCAAGAAAATCAAAAGCATTGGAAATGCATCGGGGGGATTAAATAAAATACACATTTCTTAATCCCACTTCATATGAAGTCAAAAGGAACTTTTTAGTTTGTATTCAAAAGGTCATAATTTCTCATTCAAAAATGTTTTGAGTCTGGAAATATAGCTAATTTTCCTTGTTGACAAAAGTTGCTATGATTGTTGTAAGGGTTTGCTTTTTTTTTTAAAATTTTACAGATTACTATCTGACCTTATTTTTTCCTTTAATTTCCACACATGGTTGGCTAACAAAATATGCACAGAATTATTAGCAGCTTATATTTTGAAAATAAATCAGGATTTTGTCATTCAGCTTCCTAAATGAGCCAAAGCCAGTTTGACAATTTTTGTTAAATATTTTTGCCTGCTTCTACAGCCTTAATGCATTCCACAAACTTCACACGACCATTTTTAGGAGGACCAAAATGTGGCAAGATTAGTTATACTATGACTAAATTAAAGTGCATGTCATTTAGAAAAGCAAAAACACCAATTAAACTGCCAATACTGTCCAATTTCAGACTTATGAGTCAATATAAAACACTGTTCTCAGAAATTGGTCAAAAGCATTTTAAAATGCATTGTGTACATACAAAATGGGGGAGGGGGAGTGTCAATGACAATATAGTGCAAATAGGTTTACATTTAGCATTATACCTTCCAAACCAATGTATAAATTCTAATGATTTCCTACTACATACAATATTTTGTGCTTTTATCTGATACTCTGTAGGTAAAAATGTAAGTTTCCTGGCACCATCTGGTGACATTCAGAAACCTTTATTGAAAGGGAAATATGTTAGTGGCCAAGTAGTCTAGAAAGGTAGCTTTAGTTTCTAAGATGTTCTAGCCACTTTTTTCTGTTGGAGGGGTGTATCTATAAACTGAAACAGTTCAGTTTACATTCTTAATCCTCCAGGAAGGGGAAAAAAAAAAAAAACAAAAAACAAACACCTGAAGCCTTAATCTCCTGTTTGTAACATTAACATAGCAAAACAAATAACCTGGAGGAGAGAACACATAATGGAAGTTAACACCTTTTATAATTGAGAAATTAATACAGAAAGTAGTTTAGAATAAAAACTTGTTACTTCATTTCTTTGGCCCAATTTATGACCAACAATTATCCAAAATTGTAAGACGACAACATGCAGTTAGGTTTTCATGTGTTATTTGATCAATTTCTATAATTCGCTGATCATTATTCTTTGTTCCCTCCCTCCACTTTTATAACAATTGCTTAAATATAGCAACACTAAAGAACTAAAATCATTATGAATATTTTTATATAACAACTACAGTTTGCAAACACTTTCTCCAAATTTAAATTTGGGACAATAGTTTAAAATGCAAATGAATGCTAGCCTAAATTATTAGGGTAAGCAATTGCCATTAAGTGACAATTCACATGAAATTGCTCGTAATAAAGTTCATTATACTTTTTATAAGAGACTAGTGCAGTCAAGTCTATAGATTACTAATAAATCCTATGATGCATTTGTCACCATGAAGATCGCATTCAAAAAATGCTGTAGTGATTTACTGATTGCACTTATGTTTGGATTTTAAGTACAGAAATCTACACTAAGTTCAACGATCCCAATAAAGTAGCCGTACTAAGATATACACACACACACACAAGCAATAGAGAATGAAAATCATTTTTCTACAAGGTGAGGATTTTAAAGCCCAAGATGCTTAAAACTTAAATACTTACGGTTCATTGTCAGCCATCTTGATCTGACAGGGTGTTGAAACCTAAAAAGTCAAACATTTTAAAAACAGATGTGATTACTTTTGATAAATACAGACATTGTTAGGTTGCTCCAGTTACCATTAGTTTTTTTAGTAATTCAGGAGTCAAATGTGCTTCTTTGAATCCTACAACACAATGAGGGAAACAATGATACATCAACATCTTAAATATTAAAACTAAGTCTAGCTTCTGAATTATTACAAAGCTCAGTTCTTACCAGCTGTTACAAGCCGAATGAAATAGGTTTCAAGACTGAAGTTTAACAATACAGAAACTGGGTAAGCTTAAACTGTAAACAGTAAACACTGTAAACCTTATTTTTAAGTGTCAGTTTATAAACGAACAGAAAATTTCTTACTCTATATATATATCAATATCCTACGTTTCATTTTAAGAGTTAAATAGTCAGATTATTCACAAGAATAAAAACACTATATGGAGTCATGTCACTGGGCAAACATAACTGAACCAAAAGTCTGCCAAATTAGACAGGCAGATTTACACATGGGGAGGTTTTTTTTTTTTTTTTTTTTAAAGAAAAAGCAAAGTTGAGTCCGATAGAAATTGAAATATGACCGGGGGGGGGGGGCACCTAGTAAATTTGATTAGAGCTGATCAAATATATAAAAGAAAAGTAGACTAAAGTGATACGCGGTAAATGTGACGCGAATCATTTTTTTTTTATGAGAAGTGTTAAAAAAAAAAAAAAAAAACCACGAGCAGTAAGAACACCATAAAAACCGTCACTAATTTTGAAAAAGAAAAAAAAAGAAAAAACAACAAAACAAAAACATCTTTCTAAGGCCAAGGAAAAATACTTAAACTATCAAATTACTAGGTAATAGAAAATTCGAAAAGTTTAAAAGGGGCCGATATTTGTATATTACAATTGCCGCCAACAAGTGATTTTTTTTACAGATCAATCTCTGGGGAGGGAGGGGGGCATTTTTTTTTTTTTTTTTTATATATGAACTAAAGAGAGAAAGAGTGCGCAAGATTTTACAGTAAAAAGAAAAAACTTAGTAACTACTGCATTCTATGGTAGTATGAACGAATTTAAGTTATAGGACATTTCTTTTAACAGGATAATGTTACTAGTGATGCAGCAGCTGACGCGAATATTTTTCGCTCGAGAAACACTACCCTCCCAGAGACAAGTGTGTAACACGTGCGCTACCGGAAAACTGCAGAATCGGTTTATCAAGATGAATATTGTCGATAAAATAAAATAAATCGACATCTGAGTCATGAAAAATTAAAATAAAAACTTATTCAAATAGTTCGTTCGAAGAGAACCAAAGTTTAAAAAAAAAAAAAGTCTAGTAAATTCTAAAGAAAAAAAAAAAAAAAAAAAAATGTAGCACCGGAGAAGGCTGAAAAGTTTTAAGCGACAAAAATTAAACAATATTTAGAAAATAAGTAAATTAATGTCGTAGGTAGGACGATAGAGTTGGAACACGAGGAATCAGATGAGAACTGTTTCAGTGTTGATAAGGCTTTATATGCAGATTATAACCATTTTTTAATCCTACGTTTTTTTGGGGGGGGTTTTGTAAGTCAGAATCGGATATTTAATTACGTGTACACGCACGACGAAAAGAAAAAAAAAATTTTTAACAATAATGAAGGCAAATATAAGCAAGACGGTAAACTACAATCTGCTTAAATAATGGAGAAAAAAAAAAAAAAAAAACATCTCCTTGAAGCAAAGAGCGCGACTATGAAAGCATTATACATTTAACAGGCCAGAATTAGTATGAAAGACCTACTTTTCACTTTAAAATAAATTTGGTAGTTAAGAATGTCTAAAAACAAAGCAAAAAGACAGGGGGGGTCAATGTAGGCGGTAAGAGACAACAGAAGCGGAGGGGGGGGGATGTACTTAAAAAGGACAATTTCATGATATTTCGGGAGATGCTGGATTTTGATCTGCAAGACGCCAATGCGAAGAGTTAGAAGAATTTAAAATAATGGCGAAAGAAAATTAATAATAAAACAAGACAACATACAAAAGGAGTCACATTTCAATAATGTTAGTCAAATATGGCTGATTCGACTCATCAAGAGAGGATATCTAAAAGGAAGGAGGCAGAGCGACATTAATGAAGATTTAGAGAGGGAGGCGCGGACATAAACTCGGGGCTTAGTACTTCACTGACATGATGGCTTTACTTAGAACATGTGGTAACATTCTTTACGTATGCATTACTTTTGTTTTTTTATTGATTAGATTAATGAATAAAAAATAAGAATTTAATCTAACGTCTATTCTTGCACAAACGGAATTACACGATTATAAAGTGATCCCCGACTTCAAGATCAACTGGAAGAGTGGAAAAAAGGTTTTAGACATTCAATGCCTAACATAACGTTTAGTAGCAATGAGAAAGTTAGAGAAAAAAATTTAACCATTTTCAGAATGGTTTAGGCAAAAATAGTGCACTTATTCTATAATGTAAAAAAGGAAGGAAAAAATCAAATGTCATTGATTAGACTGAATATTAATTAACAGAAAGCGTAATTTATCGAAGAGACATCTCACTCACCGTTGTGCCTGAAACCTTCTTCCGACACGAGGGTAGCTGATGCTTGTCTTTAATGACAACCAGTAGTAAAATGGCGATTCATTGGTTTAAATTCACAGCATTAGAAACTGTTATCCAATGAACAGTGCGAAGACAAAGCTTGCTTGGCAGAGCCTTCAATTTGGCGGGTAATTGGATGTTGGGGAAGGGGAGATGTAATACTGCAGTTCAAGGGGCATAATTATGTGGTATGCTACATCAAGTTTTGCGTTCCTCTATAGATGACTAATAGTTACTGCCTTCTCTCTTGAAAGCTTCTTTCTTTAGGGAACCTCTCTCCTGTTGATAAAACAACTTCAATTTAACAATGACAAAAGATGGGTGAGACAAGTAAAAAGAATTGTTTGTGAACAGTCCCTCTTTTCAAGCACATTCTTTGTCATGCAGATTTCCATAAGGAAAAAGTACAAACTTAATTTGAAGTGAAGAAACTTTTTTTTACTTGTACAAAATATATATATATATATATATATATATATATATATATATATATATATATATATATATATAAAATTCTTTTTAACTTTAGAAAATAAAAATTGTTCTAACGAAACCTTATTTAAATACAGCTTGTAAATTTTATTGTACTGTATTATTATTATTACTGACAATGTAAGTCTGATGCAGTATTTTAAATTCTTATATGCATAAATGTGACAAAATGTATTCCTTTTCATATATGCAAGGTGTAAAATCTTCATACTTTTTTTAGTATGCTTGCATGTGTAGAGCAACTAATTTTGCAGTTTTTCTATAAAAATATTTTATGATCATAGTTAAAAGGATTACATATTACATATAAATTATTCTTTAGATTTTAAAAATATGTGAGCAACATTAATAAGATGAAATGGCTGTGAAAGAGGATTATATATATGGTTCATATTAATGTTTGATTTAATATGATTTTCATGTAAATAAATAAAAATAAGATAAACTTTATATATTTTATAAATTTCTTAGAGTAAAATCACACAAAGAATACCATATTAATATCACAGATAACTGGCAACTAAGACCACCTCTCTACTACATCCAGAGAGTTACTAATCCCCCAGGTTGTCCACTCCTAAATCTTATCTTCCCACTTTTTCCACCATATGTTTTTACCTCTTCCCACTTACTGAGGTGTCTTTGGCTAGTTCTGCCAAAGTAAAGGATTGCAAAATGAAACCATACTACTTCAGATTGCTTTTCTTCAGTATTCATTGTCTGATCTGATGATACAGAAAATAAAAATATTTCTGTTGTAACCTTTGTATAAGATATATAGAAGTGCTTCCTGTAACGGATTATTTCCACAATAGTTGTTGAAAGGATCTATGTTTTACTGGCATAAAGAATGATGCATATAAAATGGAAATCAGAGTTTTGTTGAAAAATACCCTCCTAAAAGGAATTTACAATGATTTTGATTGGATGCAAAGAAGAAAACAAGATTCAAATTGCTGTTCTCTCAAATTTGTTTTGACCACTTAGAGATTAGCTGACAAAATATCTTTTATGATATTTATCTGTTCCTGGGCCTTCATACTCTAGCCATAAATCAGATAGTGATTTCTGACAAACTGTTGAAAATGCGGAAGGTACCAGTGACATGCTGAGGTTTGGTGATGTCCAGGGTCAACTCCTTGATTGTATGCCCCTAAGACCTAAGTAAGGGGGGCTATAGGGCCTAGTACTGAGATAATGTGAAAAAGGAAGACATTTTAAATATGTAAAAACAGATAAAACATGAAATAAACACTTTATTCAAATTAAATATAAAGTAATTTTTTATTTCACTCTTTGATTTGGATGCCCAGGGGCATCACACCTTCTGCCCCCACTTCTGCACACTACTGGAAGGCACTGAAAACAATGATTGTCTGGGGGTGGTTGATTAGTTATGATGTCATACAAAATATTCCAGTCCTATGTGGTAAAAATTAGTTCTGTAAAAAATTAGAGATGATTTGCAATAAATTGAGTTGATTTACAAGTTTAAATTGGGCTTTGATTTTTAACAGAGCAAACACATACTACTGATCTACCCTTGGTAAGTATCAATTTGATTTTTTAAATGAAAACAATAAAAAAAATATATTTACTGAAATTCTTCTTATGGCTAAACTTTTTCTGGTTTGACACCTTGGCTTCCATCATTTTCCCACCTCCGTAATGTTGCTTCTCTCTGTCTTTCATGGTGATTGTTCTGATGTAGGTACCGCACACAAATTTTCAGAGGAATTTGTGCAGTAATAAGAAAATTATTAACAATTTCATAGGGTGTCTTATACTTATTTTCACCACTGTATATTTGTCAGCCTAAAAATGCATATTTTTTCCTGTACAGAAATACCCAAATGTCACACTACATGCAATCCACAAGTATTATGGATAGGATACTGATCACCAAAGCCTCAGCTTGTAAAGATATATTTCAAAACTAAATAAAAATTTTATCTTGTTAACCAAAATTTACAATTCATAAAATATATATTTGATATATCAATTATTAGAGAATATATGTGTATGTGTGTGTGTGCGTATATGTGTGTATGTATGTAGTAGGCTGATGAAAGAAATTTGAAAGACAAAAAAACTAATGATAATAAAAATAGTATTTATTGTATATTATTAGGCCTTTAGACCAAATGGATGCATAATGAGAAAAAATTTTAAAATATAAATATATATATATATATATATATATATTTATTACCTCAAACATCATTTTTAATGGATAGCCATATTTAAGTAGAATGACATGTTTTTTTAAGCAGTCTTTATTTTGACTACCAGTCTGCACATTCAAGAAAACTTTATTAAGAAAATGTGCCCTCTGGCAAGACTCGAACCTATGTACCCTGACAGGAGGAAACATTGATCCTTTCCACTAAAAATAATATTTGAAATAATAAAAATATGTAGGATTAAATAGAAATATCCATTAAATTCTTTAAATATATATATATATATATATATATATATATATATATATATAAATAGATTTTTATATTTAATCTGATGTTTTTTTTTACCTCAAATGTTGTTTTAGTGGATATCTGTATTTGATACACTTTTGTCTGCCCATTTGAGATGTTTATCTAAAAATAATGTTTGAAGTAATAATATATATATATATATATATATATATATATATCAAAGTAAACAGTATTAATATTAGACTTGATCAACCACACCACCTCAATCAGAAATTTTACAATCCTCAAAAAGTGCTCAATGTGATCTGTTATAAACTACAAAGCAATATAACTTCAATAAATTGTAAGAAATAAAAATGATTTAAAAACTCATGAGCTAGCTACTTGAGTTTTTCTGTGTTCCAACTAATAATTTATTGGAATATATATATATAAAATATAAAATTCAACACCCAGCAGCAACATTTTATATTTACATATGCTCTATCCCTGATATTGAGCACTTTAATCTATAAATATAGCATATGTTAAAATTATATTATATATATATATATATATATATATATATATATATAGGATCAAATATGGATCAGAATCTGACACCAAAACATAAAGAACAAATAGGAAACGTTTAGCAATCTAACATTTCACTTTATTAAAACTTCATTAGAGACTGAAATATAGAGAAAAAGAAGTAAGAAATTCTGGTATTTTTACTTTTGCTTTGTTTCATTTTTCATTGGTTAATTATGTTTCATATGTATTCGACTTGTTAACCAAACGTTGGTATAATTTGTGGCATTCTGAATTCAAGGAGGGATGACACATCCATTCCAAATTCCAAAATATTAATGAATTCCTAGTGTAATTGAAAAAACAGTTAATATTGCTTTATGTATGTAAGTGTATAATAATTTTAGTTTGTCAATGTGGGATTCAGCTGATAATGTATTTTCATAATTGTGTGTGTGTGTGTGTGTATGTATGTGCGTCTGTATATGTGCATGTGTCTAGTAGACATTATGTTTGGTGTTTTTTGCACATGTTGATTTGGGAATGTTTTTATGTACAGACCATTTGTTTTAGATAAACATATGTTAGATTCTTTAAGAATGGATTCAATAAATGTTGGTGAGGTAATATAATGTTTTTGACATGTGTATATAGTTGAAGAGAAGTTGAAGTGTAACAGAAGAAACCATTAGAATAGTTATTTTAGCAGTAAAATAATGAGACCTATTTGCCAATATAGTACTGCATTTAAGTTCATGAGGTTGAAGTACCAAAGTGGCTTAAGTTGAGATGTCAGGTGAGGACCAATAACTTTACAGATACAGTGAATTACTGATAAATGGAATACCAGTTATAAGGAATAACTGTTTATTAGCTCTAATTCTACAAGAACAGAATCTAATACATGCGTATAACTCTATTTCACTCCCCTCCCCCAGAAGTGTTTGTGGTGCTTAGAAAGTGATGCCAATTGTGTTTTCTTTTGTTGGTGGTTGCATAGGTTTCTGCTATTAACAATAGAATACTCACCTTGTATAAGGTTGTCTGTCTCAACCTCTTATGCTATGAACTAAAAATAAAAAAATGATTACCCTGAAAATTATAAAAAAATGATTCATTAAACTTTCACACAAGAATGGCTATCTGAAGAGATGTCTTTGAATGAGAGGGTTGGAAATGAAGTCACACTTTTGTTTTTTTTTAATACAAACCATTTAAAAGAACACCCATATAATAATATATATATATATATATATATATATATATATATATATATAGATAAATATATAAATATCACCATTTATATTTTCAATTTTGTGTATCATAATTGATTTATATAAAACAATAAAAAAATTGAAATAAATTTATTAAATTTAGACAAATCATTTCAAACAATCAAACTATTTATCTCTTCAGTACTGCAATAAATATACATTTGATTTCTAATATATACATACATGTATCTGTCTGTATAAATTTACAAATCATATTTAAAATTAAATTGTAAATAAAATAATTTTTTCAGATTTTATTTTTCCTTATAAAATACAGACAGACTGAAACACAAT